GCAGGGCTGCATCGGTCCGGCCGACCTTCGGCTTGTCTGTATGTACCGTCATGGCTTATACTTCTGTTCGTACGGCTACATCGATCCGATCGACCTCCATTGCGACTCTAGTATAAGCTAGTTATCGACTCTTGTCTAGTTCAAGTATGGCTGCATCGATCCGATCGACCTCCACTGCTCGAACTAGATTAAGGTCAAGTTATCGGCTCTATCTAAGGGTGACGTCCTACGGGTAGATTCATTAAGTTACCGATCTTGCTGATGTTTCCGTTGTTATTAGTTTACAGCAACATCAACTCGTCTGGTCAAGATCGAATTAGATCGGCCTTATATCCTTTCAGTCCGTCGTTCGCTTTACTACAACACGATGTCTCTTACTCTGAGCGACGGATTATGCTTCATCGGCTGTTTTTATTTTGATCTTCATCGTGCATAGTACGCGGTTAAGGCATGAATAATCTTGAAGAGGTTTGTTGGCTAGTTGAATCTAGTTTATAGTTCACTATTATGGCTGTAATAATCCGGTCGATCCCCACTGATGGCACTGTAGATTGGAGGACGCTAGTTAGTAGATTTGTTCCTGGTTAGGCATGACCTTAGCTATTTGCTATGCCTGCATCGGCTAAATAGCCGATCGCTTGTGCGTTAACGCCTATGTTGTGCGTCCATGATTCTGTTAATCATGAATAGATCTGTGTACTTTAAGGGTTTGATTCGTTGTCTTTTTCACGGCTGCATCGATCCGGTCGAACCCCACTGTTAGAGATAGCAGGTTGAGTCTGAGGAGTATATATGTTTATTCTTGTGAAATAGTCGATTGTTCACATGCTGTAGTCGTTTTTACCTAAATCGGCTATTTTAGCCGATTCATCCGAACCTTCATGTGTCTTTGGGAAAGCCTGTCGAAGTACGGATGTTTTTTGCGGATTCTTCAGTTTTGGTTTGTTATTATTATCATAACTGCCATCGATCCGGTCGAGCCTCACTGTTGGTGGTAACAGATTACATTCAGAGCGTTTATAGATCCATTCGTATCAGATAGTCGATTCGTTGTGTGTTATATCTTTTTCTGATTAGATTCATCGGCACAATGCTTTACACTAGCAATATCTATCTAGCTGAGGATCTTATTTACATCTACGATTACTGTACCGGTCAATATGAAATTAATCGCTACACATGAGCTTTACTGTCCGTAATAGGCGATTTATGTGCGGATCGGCTATTCAGTCGCTCGCCCCGTATGGCTGCTCCCGAAGCGACACACTTGAAACTGTCTGGGCACAGACCGGTATGTTCCACCTTAAATTACTGATGAACTTTCTCTCCTTATCAATTACAGGGTCAAATTTAATGACACGTCTCGGAAGGAGTACGTATGATCGATCATCCCTACATAGGTGGGTCGTGTGCCCGGCACACTTTCGTGCGGACAGGCCCGCATGTTAGAGTCTACGGCGGTGAACCAACGCAATATGTAGCCCAAAGTCAAGTAAGCCTTTCGCGCCAGGGCCCATTTCACCGGCTCCGTTATCCCGCGCTATAGTACTATTTTGTTTTTTTTATTACCCGCAGCAACATCCTAGGAAGGTGTGGTGGACTCTGATGCGGACTTGTGGCTTTAGTCTCACGCGGACCTGTGGGGCCCAGCCAATGGCAGTAGTGGGAAATAAATAACCTCCGACGAGGCGAGGACCCCGTGTCACTCTGCAGTCTTCACTTCCTCCTCCGGGGGCGCACTTTGGTCGTCGTCTGCCGGCCGTTCTCTCGATCTCTTGCATTGGTGAGTGATGACTACCACCTTCCCGGCTTCCCGCGTCCGATAGTGTAGCACTCGCTCGTTGTATGCTTGAGGGATCCGCTTGCTTGGTGAGAGTTGGCGGTGGCTTTGTTGGGCCATGGCCGCCATTGCGTTGTGTTTGCGCCCATGCACTCTCCTCTAGTCCTCTTGGCCGCCGTGGGTTGGGCTGCTCGGGCGAGCGGCCAGGTGACTGCTGAGCCGCCCTTGCAGGTCAGCCTCAGGTTGCTTCTGCCGCGGGGCGAGCAGACAGACCCGTCTTGACTCCTGCCTGATCGAATCCCGTCCAAGACGCTGTGGTAAAAAAAAAGATTGGATTTTGTACTAGTCCGGCTTTTAGATCTTTGCTTAATCGAGTTTCACAGAAAGTTGAGGAGTGTTCACCAGCTAATTGCATGAGTAATTGTGAATGTTCATCACAAACGGCATCCAAGTCTCCCTTTTTCCCCTTTCTTTTTATTCTTTTGTGTGTGTGTTCAGATGGTAATCCTCCACCCACCGGTAGAGAGACCGGCTCTACTCCCGGTTGGGAACCCCTTTTAATAAATAAAACCCACTGGTAGAGAGACCGGCTCTACTCCCGGTTGGGAACCCCTTTTAATAAATGAATTTCTTAAGACCTCGCTTGCGCTGTGTGGGATTCGAACACAAGACCTCTCTCATCACGCATAGATTCCTTACCAACTCAACTGCACACCACATGTGACATAGTCATCTGCGCTCCTACTTTTAAATTGACCCGTGAGGGACCTTTAGTCCCGGGTGGGAGACCTTTAGTCCCGGTTCGTAATACCAACCCGGACTAAAAGGTCACCCTTTAGTCTCGATTGGTGTTACCAACTGGGACTAAAGGTTGGAGGACTTTTAGTTCCGGTTGGTGGCTCCAACCGGGAGTAAAGGTCCACCTTTAGTCCCAGTTGATGTCTCTAACCGGGACTAAAGGTCCCATACCACTGTGCCGAGCGCAGTAGCCGTTAGGCAGGGACCTTTAGTCCCGGTTGGAGACACCAACTGGGACTAAAGGTCTCTCTAGTCCCGGACGCAAAAAAATGCCAGGACTAGAGTCCATTTTAGCCTCGGATGAAAGATATGTTCTCTACTAGTGACCCCAGCAAAATTTGATGACAATATCCATATGGTCTTGCGATTTTGCTAGCTAGATCTAACAAAGGAGCGAAAAGTAAACAAGGGAAAACACACACACACTGTAACACTGACGACTTATTAGCTTTGTATCGTACTTTGGTTGATGATTATTTCAGGTGCTTGCATCAACGCGTACGCAGGAATTCTGAAGCTGTGCCGACCAGGGTCCCGGGCGTAAGACTAGGATGTTGCAGCGGGTCTGAACGATTGCCCTGCATCAACGCCACAGCATCCTCCTAGCTTCGGCGCAGTTCGGCTGGTGCGAATTTCAGCCGAAATTCACTGTTCACTGCTGAAATTCATTGTTCACGCTTTTAAAAAATCCTCTAGATTCAACCAGATCCCTCCAAGCGAACAGGGCCAAGTCTTACGCGGACTTCCCCATGAGTTCCACTGGGTTGTGGGCTGAAGACCCGGGATCCAAGCCGCATCAACGCGTATGCAGGACGTCTATGCAAGCTGCTAAGCTGTCAAAAGAAGATGGTGTGTCGTCATCACAACCACCGGAATTGGAAGACAAAGCATCCCAAGCTAAAACCGCCAAGAGTGGTATATATATATGCTCGTGTCTCGGGATGATGCAGTTCGGCGGCTGGTGTCCATTCTTTGGGCGTGGCCGGGCTGGTCTTGGTCAGGTGGGGTGGGTGGCTTTGTGGCGGTGACGGTGGTGGTCTTGGTCTTTGGTCTTTGGTGGTGATAAAGATGCGCTTTAGCGGGTGCCGATCCATTGATGTCTTGGTCTTTGGTCTTGGTCTTTTATTCTTTGGTGGGGCTGGTGCCTTTGTGGCTGATGCCGCTGGTGCTGGCGTTGATAATGATGCTCGTGTCTCAGCATGATGGAGTTCGGCAGGTGGGGCTGTTTGGGCTGGTGTCTTCTTTGAAATATTGCATGGGCTTTGGTCTTCTTTGGGGGGGGCGGTATACTGGGAGTATTATGTTTCCTTTTTTGTCTGCTCTTTGGTACTTGGTGTTTGCTCTGCTAGTCTTGGTACAAACCCTCCACAGGTATGGACATCCACGTACAAACTATACACTACACATGCACAATACATACATTTGGTTGGCTATATTAGTCTTTAGTTAAGCTTTTGAGGTGTTTTTTTTATCTTTGTTTGGTTGTCCGTAGAATCCTATATAACCAATGCTGTGCTAAAAGTAGACCAAATACTACATTAGGACGTCCCAACAAGGAACTTTTTGCTAGCTATTTGATTACGTGGAGGAAAGAGAACATCAAAAACTAAATAGCTAGCGACAAGTTCCTCGCCTAGCTCGCACAGGTCCCTATAAATCTACTCTCTCTGCTGACCGAGACCCACTCTTACCTTGCTGTGGGGCTCACATTTTTTTCCTTTTTTTTAATTTCTATCAGCCGGCGATTTGCTTTTGCTTGTTGAGGACGCCCTTAGCTAGTATGTCAGATTTTATGTTATTAGATACTCAAGCTCATTGGTGCCAACAAAATGGAATATCCTCACATTCCCTGTTTCTATTGATACATGGAGCCATATATGGAGGTGATAAAAAACGCGACACACTGTGAGCAACCACAAACAATGTCACTCAACGACTAAACACAGATTGCATGTGCAAGACAACTAAAAGCCAACGCATTGCATGTGTTTATGCTGCTTCGGATTGTACTGCATAAGTCTTAATGCATGCTAAGACTGGTGCAAACAATTAATCACACCCTCGTCTTTCACAATATGCTTCGCACCTTAGTATGACAAATAATGCTTATTCTTTTATTTACCTTAAATACTACATGCCATTAATTTGCCATATGCGTATACGTAATGATAACATCGAGAGCAATACAGTAATCGTACTCTATTTCTGCTTTTACCTACTTTAAACTCTTAGAAACTATCTTCCCCATCTTGTAATTTATGTACTTATAAACAATAGAAAATCTTTCGATTGCCTCTTGTAGGGTCTTATCTTTTAGTTTTGCCACAGGATCATGAATTTCTGTCGCGCATGCATGCACGGGCATGGCGGCAGGCTCCTGAAGTGGGGGCCCCACAGGATCATGAATTTCTGTCGCGCATGCATGCACGGGCATGGCGGCAGGCTCGTGAAGTGGGGGCCCCACAAATGGGTTCTGGACTCCGGCGCGTGGAATCACCATACCTCCAACCTGGCGCTGCTGCTTGAAGGCGGCTACTTCCAGTCTCACGAGCTGGACAACAAAGATGCTCCGTCGAGCGGGGATGACGCCACCGCCCCGCATGTCCAGGGGCGCGGGTCTGTACGGACGGACTGCTTTGACTTCCCAGGCGTCCACTATGTTGTTGGGGACGACACAAGGAATGTTGTGTCGGTGTCTCAGCTCGCTCGTGATCATGGACTGGTCACTGTCTTTGAGCCGACGTCTTGCCACGTCAAGGAGAAGAAGACCGGGAAGATCGTTGGCAAGGGTCGCTTACGCAACGGCATGTACATACTGGATTCTCTACACATCGTCGGCCAAGTGAGTATACACACACATCTCGATCATCTCTTCTCGAACGACCCTGAGTATCCTGAGAGCACATTTAGTGTTGATTTACATCCATCTATCCAGTAGTGCGTGGAGTAGGCTTCAATCTATTGATTCTATTTTTTCACATGCACAGCATATAAGAGACGGAGGAGCAAGTGGAGGCGATCGCCATGATGGAGCAGATGGAGGTGGTGGAGGTAATGGAGATGGTGATAGCACAGCTGAAGGGCGTGGAGGAGGTGGAAGAGATGGTAGGGGAGGAGAAGGAGGGACCAGAGCTAGAAACCAGGAAGAAAGCAGTGGAAGTGGAGCCGCCAGAGGAGATATTAACGAAATAAATGAGGAGGGGGAGGGCGGGGACGAAAAAGAGATTGAAGAAATGGATGATAATGATGAAGATGACATCAAGGAGATTGGAGAAATAAATGGCAAAGGGGAAAAGGAAGATGATGAGAAAAGAGGAGGACAAAATTCTGGACAATTATCGTCTCGATCGCACACAGGCTTGTTTGGCATGTCAAGATTAGGTACGAACTTAACTACTGCATTGTACAAAATATTCATTTCATTATAAATCTCTATTTGCTTTGAACTTACTGGATTGTGGATTATTGTAGATTGCATATGCTGGATTGTTTCCATATTGTGCATTGCAGCTTTCATATTGCAACCGTATACAGGCTGGGGGGCAGGAGTAACAATCTTGCCTGTGGATTTTCACAGTCTAGTAGCTGGGTTCTGGTTCCTGTTTATTTTGAGCTTCCAACTTTTTAAAACATGGATGAGCACAATCTGTAAAGAAGAAGAAACATTGGGGCGTTATCTCCAAGCATTATCTCATCAAGAGCGTTACAAGCGATTGTTTGGGCTATCACAATTTGATGCGTATGTACCTGCTGCACTATATGTCAAAGATATATATAAGGAATGTGTTCTTGATAAGTTTGTGATATATGTATATGTGTCTGCAGGACTACGCCACTACGGACCCGACTGGGTACCATCTTCCCGCTAGAGCCTTTCCTGCTTCGTCGACAAACGCAGCACGCCGGGAAGAATTTCTACTGGACTCGGGTGCATCCTTCCACACGACATGGAATGAATGGATTCTAATTCCCTACCCCAATGGTCTAAAGGATCATACCGAGCCACCGACGCGGCGTTTCGGAGGGATTAGTGGGTCTGTCGCGGTCAAAACATCTGGCTACTTGAGCATCGATAAGATCAAGCTCGACGGCGTACTGCTTGCTCCCGACTCACGGATGAACCTTGTCTCCGTTGGCCAGCTCTCGATCCAGTACGAGGTGAATGTGGAAATGGACGACAAGGGGTTCGTCATCAAGAAGAAGCAAGGCCCAACACGCTCGTCACAGGCCCAATGTGGAGCCGCTAGAGAGAGAGGAGAGAGGGGTACTTAAGCTAGAGAGCGTGAGAACATAGGACATGAACTCTGTAATCGCATAACTGAATTCTGTTAATCATTCCTCCTACCTCCTACTCCCGTGCTAGTGCTTCCTCCTTCCTTCCCCAATTCTACCTCTCCGACCTACCGTTCTGCACCTCAGTAACACTAACAATTTTATTTCCCTACAGTGCACAGTTGGTTCGTTATTGTGTGCTCTCATCTTCGGTCCACCAGCACCCCCCACTTTGATGCTGATCACACACTATTGTTTTAATTCCCTTGTGTTGTTTCATCATATATTATTGTCATTGGGCATTAGTTAGCTATGCCTTGAAACCACTTCTTATACAAATCACTGGGAGTAGTGTATGTATAATCTTGCGCACCTTTGTTCTGGACCTCGAACTTATTAGTGTGCTTGAATAAGTGATTTGTGGCTGGCATTGCTGTGTTTCGTTTGCAGAACCAGATTGTGCGTTCGTACCCTTCTTCTGAATAAGTGTGTTATTTGTTATGTAGGTGATATGTGAACAACAAACCACATTGTATTTGTATATGCTTGTAACAATAACAGCAAACCACACTCTTGTAGTACTGGCCTTCTGTCATCAATCATTTCTCTCCAGTGTGCATTATCTTCTATTCCATCGGTTCTAAATTATAAGACGCTTTGCCTTTTCTAAATTCATAACTTTTGCTATGCATCTAGATAAGTATTATATCTAGATACATAGTAAATATTATAAATTTAGGCGAACTAAGCCTAACTTAGTTGGTTAGGTTCCTTGTGGTGGAATTTATCCATTCAGGTTCAAGTTCTTAACTTGGCACGGGTGTTCGCATTTTCCTGGATTTATTCTAAGATTTAACGGCGTTGTGCTTTCCGTGGTAGGCAACGTTCCCGTCGACAGCGAGGCGCCTGTGGTGACTTCGTCAATCTCGAGATGTGCCGGCACAGTCTTTCGGAGGTGCTCATAGGGGTTGGGTTTGCGTACGTGTGTTCATAGGGGTGAGTGTGCGTGCGTGTTGAGCATCTACGTCTATACTTGTGTAATTCAAAAAAAATTATGAATCTAGAAATGCCAAAACGTCTTATAATTTAGGACGGAGGAAGTACTTTGTTGCGGGTCGACGTGGCAGTTCTGTACCATGAATCATGACATTGAACTGGCATAGACTTGGGTTGTGGAATAGTGTCATTCTTGCTGCCTGCTACTTCCGCGCACTGCCTGGAACCAAATTTGAAGTGGTAAATCTCATATATACCATTGTTTGCATGGCATTCTTTTCAACTGGACAACTGTTAAGCACATTTTTAGGGTGTTCATGAATTACTACTTGTATGGATATACATAATCATGTTAAGTCTTTATCAATATTCAGGACATTTTCTGCATTAGAATATCACCTCAAATTTGGGAATATATGTCATTATTTCTAATGTTTTTGCGAGTGACAATAGAAAGCCCGAAATTGCATGAACTGACCATAGCTCAGCCGGTTATTTGTTATGGAATTTACCAACTTGGATTCAAGCTTTCGACCTACGCTTGTGTTATACTAGGATGCATTATTTGGCAACTACTATCTCCGTTTCAAATTATAAGACTTTTTATCTTTTTTTTTCTTAGATTCATAACTTTTGCCATGCACTCAGGTATACGGTATGTCTAGATCTACAGTAAAAGCAATGTATTTAAAAAAGCCAAAACGTTTTGTAATTTGGAATGGGGAGAATACAGAACAAAGATTTTAAACTCCTAAGTCGAACTCTCAATTCCTCTTTTGAATTACTCCTAACAAAACGTTTTGCCGGTACAAAGCTATGCTTCAACAGTGAGGCACCTGTACTTTCATCAATTTTTAGATTTAGGGCCTGTTTGGGACTGCTCTGCTCCACCTTTTGTCGCTCTACTCCCAAACTTTTCTGCCAAACAGGTCCAACTCCACAAACTCTGCTCCCAAAAAAAGATGGAGTTTTGGTCCAACTCCATGTTTTTCGCAGAGCTCCTCAGAGGGTACTCCACAAACCAGCGTTTCGTATGTCCTCGTAGAGTTGGAGGTAATTACCCGCAATTGCCACTCGTTACGCAGATACCGTTTCGTTCTATTTCCTCCCGTCGCCCCCCAACTACTTCTTTCCCCTTTTGTTCCGGCAGCGCATACGGGCCAACGAATCCGGCGTTGCTGGCGGAACGCAACCGGCAACCGGTGCCCCTCCCGCTGGAGCTCGTCGGAGGTCACCGGGCCCGCTCTCCCCGCCCGTCCGCTCTGGTCCGAGCTCCTCCCGCCTCCGTGGCTGCGCCGCCCACCGCGTGACCCCCGTTCCCCGCCCCTGCGGCCCTGCGGTGGCGGCTGGATGCTGGCCCGGCGCTCGGCCTAACCTGCGCGCATGGCGGCCCCCAGCGGCGGCGGCCTCCACATCGCCATGGTGGCCAGGGTGGTGGCGGTGTCGCGGGTGGATACGGACGGCCTCCCGGAGGCAGAGGCGGACGGCCACCCGGAGGCGCAACCACCCTGGAACTCGTCAGCGCCACCCCCACCTCGCTCGACTGCCACCCGGCCACCCAGGCGCTACCCCGCATGGCCGCACCCCCGACGGCGCTAGCCCAACTGCATCCAGCATCTCAGACGGGGCATCCGCCGTGAAGGACCTGGATCTTCTTGTGGATGGGGTTTGAGCAGGGGAGGAGATTTGCAGAGGTCTAGCTCTACTGACTCGCACAGCAGGCCTTTCTCGGCTAGCCTGATGTGGCAACGCTGATTGAACAGGCTCACCCACAAGTCTTGTAGCTGAATCGCTTCTTCGCCCATGAAACTGGTGTCTTTCTCCGGCTGATCTTCTTTTTCTCTCTGTGTACGAGCACTACATTGACCTGATATGTAGGAACAGACCTTCACCCAGTCCTACTAGATTTGTTGGAACAGACCATCAACGAACATGTCAGCAACCTGAAAAATGGATGCCTTGAGCTCCTCGTACTTGTGTACTTCAATTTGATTTGTCATGAATGAATGGAGAAACTGAACTGATGCTCTAGATTCGTACATGAATTCCTCAACAATGACCTGACCTGTATTGCTGGATCACATGATTTGTACTGAAGAAGGTGCCGATAAGAGTACCGAATCCAAGTTTTAGAAATTGCTGGCAAAAATAATTACACAGTGGACTTCACATGGTAGAACCGTAGAAGTGTACTTCAGAAAAATGATAGTGGCTACACAGAGTCTCATAATTTGCATTTCATTAGTGCTCAATCAGTTTCTGAATGATTTCAGTTTTTAATTTCGGTAGCAAATTTCAGTATGTAATTTTAGTTTTAAATTTCAGTTAGCATTTTCAGTTTTTATTTCATTTTTTAATCTGAATTAGTATTCAGTTTTTAATTACAGTTACTATTTATGTATGGACAATTATTTGTATCCGAAATATGAACTTTGTCAATTATCCATCAAGCGCTTTGAAATTTACGTGACAAAAGTATGAAATTATTTGGGCGAAATATTTGTTTTTTACTTTTCTTCAATAAATTAAATGAGACTATAATATTTACACTATATTTGAATTGGTAAAAAAATATTCAATTACACATGCTCTGCATACAACAGAACCTACACCAAACATCGATAAGGGGCATAGTATATCTTTCCTATAGAAACCTCATGTTTCTATAGCTGGAGCTAAACTGCGTGCCAAACAGGTCCACTTGCTCCAGAAACTCCACAGTGGAGCTGCTTTGTGATGGAGTTGGTAGAGCAGAGCTAAAAAAGGTGGAGCAAAATAGTCAAAACAGGCTCTTACTGTACCGGCTCACTTTTTTTAAGATGGTCATAGAGATAGCCACATAGGGCCGGGTGTCTGAATGATGTGAGCGTTCGAAAAAAGAATGGGAATAGAAACAGCACAAAAGAGGCCTTAAGCCCAGTGGGCTTGCCCTTCATACCACCGACCACCGTTTGCCCGCGCCATTGGAAACGGCCGTTGCCAGCCGCCTCGCTCTCGCCGATGCCGCCCGCCGCCGGCGATCCCTCGCCTCCGCCGTCCTTCGCCCCCGCCATCACCACCCCAGACGGGTGGCACCCGCGAACGGCGGAGCGCCGACTGCTTCACCTCCTCCACCACTGCCCCGTCGCCCGCGGCCGCCCGCTCGAGCTCCTCGCGTTCGCCGTCCGCCGCGCGCTCCCCTGCTACCCTGCGTCACCGCACCACCACGCCCTCACGGCGCTGCTGCTCCTCTCCTCCCCTCCGCCGCCCACGCTGCCGCTCCTCCGCCTCCTCCCTCCCGATCCCCCACCCCCGCTGACGCTCCTCAACGCCGCCGTCAAGGCCCTCTCCGCCTCCTCCTCGCCGGACGATGCCTTCCGTCTCCTCTCCACCCTCCGCCGATTCCACGCGCCTGACCGCCTGACCTTCCTGCCCCTCCTCGGTTGCGCCTCCTCGTCCTTGCCGCTCCTCTCCGCGCTGCACTCGATCCTCCTCCGCCTCGGCTTCCTCTCTCACCACGCCATCTCCCTCGCTCTCCTCAAGCCCTACCCGTTCCTGCACGTCCGCGCCTTGTTCGACGATATGCCCCAAAAGAACAAGTGCACCATCGCCTACAACACCCTCATCACGGCGTGCCTCAAGGCCAGGGACATCCGCGCCGCACGCCACCTGTTCGACGAAATGCAGTGTCACAGGCGATCCAGGAGGAGCGTCGTTTCCTGGAACCTTATGATCACCGGGTGTGTACGCCATGGACGAGATGACATGGCAGTCCAGTGTTTCGAGAGGATGGTCAGGGAAGGAGAGGTGGCGCCAGATGATGGGACCTTGGTTGTGGTGCTCCCGGCTTGTGGGAGGACGGGGAATGTTGGGGCAGGGAGGTGGGCGCATGAGTATGCGAAGAAGACTGGCTTGTTGGACAGTACAGTGCATGTTGCAAATGCAGTGATGGATATGTATTGCAAGTGCGGTGATGTTGATAGTGCACGGAAGGTGTTTATGACGACGCTGCAGCACAGTGTGGTGAGCTGGAACACCATGATCAGTGGATTCTCATTGAATGGTCACGGAGTTGAGGGGATTGATCTGTTCCAGGAGATGAGGAGGCATGGAGTGGAGCCTAATGCTGTGACATTCTTAGCAGTGCTTGGATGCTGTGCGCATGCTGGGGCAGTGGATATTGGGCGGGAGATCTTCCAGAACATGCTGTCGGAGAATGGCATTGAACCAGCAATTGAGCATTATGGGTGTATGGTGGATTTATTTGGAAGGTCTGGTCTCCTTGAGGAGGCGCACGTACTGATTCAGGGGATGCCAATGAAGCCTAATGCTACCATATGGGGAGCACTTTTAAGTGCATGTCGTGCTCATGCTGGGCTTGGCATTGCTGAGGTGGCTCTGAAGGAGCTTATCAATCTTGAACCATGGAACTCGGGGAACTATGTGTTGTTGGCCAATCTTTATGCGGAAACAGAGCGGTGGGAGGAGGCAGGGGAGGTGCGGAGATTGATGAGGAGGATGAGTGTGAATAAGGCTCCAGGGCAGAGCTTAATGGAAGAAGCTGAGTTTCAGTTGACAAATTCATACAATAGCTAACTATGTGGAAATAACTTTAGTTTGGAAGGGAAACTTCAGAGGGGCTGTAAATGAAAAGCTCCTTGGATCAACCAACCCTATTAAGAGACAGAGATAATATTTGCAGGTAAACATACCAGCTGTTTTTCCCTATGTTCCATGTGTTGTAGCAGTGGTGTGCTGAAAAAGCGATTGCTTTTTTCGATATTTCTTTAACAACAAACTTACTACATTCATGGCAAATTAGGCACTAAATACCTCAATTGCTATGATAGCTAAGATAGAAAGATGTTTATTTGTCTTTATAGCTGTGTATCAATATATTTATATTGATGAGTATTATCGAAATCACGCATCATTACACATTTACCAACAATAAATGCATCTTAGAGTTCTAATTTGTCATGCATTTGAGTTTGAAATGTACAGATTTAGTCAACAGTCATCAAGGTGCTGCAAGATGTTTTGATGGCTGCAATATGTTTAGTCAACAGTCATCAATTGATCATGCTAAAGCAAGATATGGCAGAGTGTGAATTACCTAACAAACTTCAAATGGAAAGCTTGATAGAATTGTCTGTGCTCGTTGACCATGATGAGCATATTTGGGTAAGTGTTAGTATGTAACAATAGGCATCACATATGTTAGATGTCAAATGTTGACATCTAGAATTTCTACAAAAGCTTTCTCTTGTTATTCGACATTCATATTGGACAATAGAGCTTGACTATTGTATACTTGTAACTAACTTTTGACATGGCAGCAATACACGTTAACCTTACAAGCCATATATAATGGTGGATCATTTAAGTGTTCCTCAAAAGATGTCCCATGTGCTTAATTGCAGCACGGCAAGCTATTTTTCCTTTTCTCTCCCTTACAAGCTATGCATGTTAGCTGCAGCTTTACAAATTCTCATAATTATTTGGATTTGCAGATTTCTAGTTTCTTGCCAACTTGAACATGTGCCTTGCTTCCCTTCTTTGATTTTCAGTGTCTCAGAACATGACACAATTTTCATATTCGTTGTAATTTTCTTGTATCAAGGCATCTTAAGTCTAGTTTGGTTAAGAAGAAGGGAAAATGTTTGAACAATGACTCAAACATTATAGCAAACTCACTGCTCACTTCTCTTAATTAATTTATCTTAATTGTCATGGGTTTCTCTGACATGCGGATAGTATATAATCATTAACCCTAAATTTTCAAAATATACATCTTGAGAACACACTTCATGGACATTTTGCATAACTGTTACTTCCACGGCCTGTAGTTTTCATGGGCATCTATGAACTTAAAAAAAAAAAACAATGTACCCTTTTGTCAATAGCAGATAATACATGTGCAGGAAGTCCTACGAGTTCTGAATTTACAGTTTGTGTTGTCTGTGCAGACAGCAGAAGAGAGAAGACTGCCACTCTACCAGGATTATTAGAGATTAGATGGCCTGATGGGGGGCACAAAATGGGGTCCTGAAAGGAGCTAGCCTGCGGCACTCAGACTGAAAAATCTGATGCTGCACCTGTGGCATTCTCATCACAGGATGGCAAACACTAGGAACCGAATATTCAGACAGACACATGCAGGGCCCAGCGAAAACCTTTTGGCATTTTCCTTTTGTGGGCTCCCTAACATGGACAGCTCAAGACGATACAGTTTGAAGCTCCCAACGAAAAGAGGACCAAACAAATCGAAAAGATGCCGCCTAGATTCAAGGGAAATTTCCGGTGTTGGGCCTTGTGACCCTTGTCCTGTCCTCCTTTGTTTTCCTCCTCAGCGGACTCCAAGTAATTTTGCTTTGCTTTGCTTTGTCACCCGACCCACGACCCTGATCTTAATAACCGCGAAAAAGTGGGTTGAAGGCTTGAAGCATGTGACAAAGTGACGAGGAGACGTTTCGAGTTGCTTGGCTTTCCATGGAAGCTGCGTGAGTGCGTGACCTGCGTCAGGGTTCATTTGCGCATGTTTTATGCATCGTGCTGCTAAACATGGAGCTTTTGTGGTTTAGTTGTTGGTACTTATGCCTTGGTACCTCTGACATGTGGATCCATGTCGTCTTGGAAACCAGGTGCAGAGATCTCTTAAAAGCATGTGCACTTCAGGGTTAAGATGTTCCAGTTAGATCTATCAATCTTCCTGATTAAAGCAACTCACACAAGGATCTGTGGGGAAATGCTAGTTCTGAAATAAAGTAGATGGGTCATTTGTACATGGTGCTGCAGTGCTGCTATGGATTGTCAGTTGACTGATGGAAGAATTTAGCCAATTTTCAGTGTTTTTTCCCATCATTTATCTTGTTTTGAATGCAGTGGCATAGGTTCTGCCTTTCACTACAAGCAGAGGAAAATTTTCGGTTACTTCGTTAAATGTTCTCACAGCTGTTCTGCATTAGGCAGAAACAACAGAATAATCAAGCAACTGTTGCTTATATAAAGTATACATTCACCCTGTTCGCTTGTTGATTTCAGTCAGCCCAAACCAATCAGCCAACAGTGTTTTCCTCTAACAACAAACCAGCACCAGCCAGCCCAAACCAGCTTAGAAACCAACTAGCGAACAGGCCGATTAGGACGATCAGCTGAGAGATTTATAAGTATCCTTAGCTCTTTTGCTTTGCTGAGAAAAAGGTTTAAAAGCTTCTTGATTACTTTGCCACAGGCTAATCACAATGGCCCGCTGCATAATTCCTTCCCAGTTGGTGCCAAACTTGTTCAATTACTAGTACACAAGGTACTTTCTTTCTTTGTTTTTTTCTTTGTGAGTGGGAAGGAAGATACTCCTTGTTTGCTGCAAGATCAGAGGCACATGCAACCCACCTTTGGATTCTCTCTCTCATTTTGATGCAGGTCCCCACGAATGGCATCCACACTTTGTTTTATCTACTGCCCATCATCAATTCAGCCCTACTGCTGCGCCTGCGAGTGGCATTTTATTTTCCTTTTATTTTTGGAGAAGAGAGTGGCAGTTTTTTTTGACACAAAAAGAGAGTGGCAGTTGTTTACACCCAGGCCAGCAGCAGTGGCCGCTCGTGTTGCGGCCACAGCTCCCCGCCCCAGGGCAGCCTTCTGGGGATCACAGTGGCGGTTGCGCGGCGCGACACCGGCCGGCCGGCCGGCCGCGCCGGAGCCAGGAGCGACAGGCGTTGACCTCGGCACGCCGGCCGCTTCCTCGAACGCCGGCGGTCCAGGTGGTGGGGAGCACGTATCGTCCCCCGGGGATACGGCCTCTGCTGCAGCACGGGCACAGCACCCGGAGGTCAGGGGATACCGGCTTCGATGCATGCAACACACACATCTGAATTGGTGCCTTGACGCCCTTGTTGTGCAATCCACGGGTGAATTCTTAATCCGCCACAGGTATCATCCGCTCCATAAAAATAGCACCAATCATGAACAGGTGCTGTGGTAGTGCTGCGAATATTTATATACAAAATATAAATATAAATTCGCGAGCTCCAAAACGGAGATTGTGTGTTGGTGATGAATGAAGAAATATAAGAATGTGGGGCAGCAATAATCAATCAGCGGCAGTGGTGCCACGCGCGCTGTATATTCTACAGTTTCTTCAGCGCCACGGCCGATCGCGTTGGATCTCTCTCGGCGCACGGGGCGCTCGCCATTGGAGGTCAGCGAACCTTCTCCCTTTCTTTTCATTTTTCTTTTCTTTTGTCTCTGCAAAGTTTATCCACACATACATACTCTACCAAAATAAGTGCCAGATTAGTTCCCAAATTTTTGCAAAATTTTTCAAAATTCCCCGTCACATCGAATCTTTGGACGCATGCACGAAGCATTAAATATAAATAAAAAATAAAACTAATTACACAGTTTAGACGAAATTCACGAGACAAATCTTTTAAGGCTAATTAAACTATGATTGGACACTAATTGCCAAGTAACAACAAAAATACTACAATACCATTTTTTAAAAAATTTCGTCAACTAAACAAGGCCCAAGAAGAATGAAAGCCGGACCTTTTTCAAATTCTTTTGTGCCATACTCTACCAAAATAGGAGCCTACCTAACCTAGACTGATGGAATATATCTTTCATCTTCTTTTGTGCGTCTTTGCAATGATAGGAATCTAGGTGATGTGCGCTTTGGATTGGATTGGATCCTTTTCGCAGTTCTAACGATGGGAGGGCACAGGAGGAGGAGTACAACAACTACAAGGTTGGGCCTCGTTTAGATTGAAAAAAATTTCAAACCGATAAATAGTATCACTTTCGTCTTATTTGGTACATATTGTCTAATCGTGGACCAACTAAGCTTAAAAAATTCATCTCGTGATTTCCAACTAAACTGTGCAATTAGTTATTTTTTTTACCTACATTTAATGCTCCATGCAAACGGCTAAAAATTGATGTGATGAAGAAAGAGCGAAAAAACTTGGAATTTTAAGGGTATCTAAACAAGGCCTTGGTTGGGTGCGTCACTTTGTGACAAGGGAGGATGATTGGGAGGAAAGCTGGTGTGGTGTGGTCGCCGAGCTGCTGATGAGTGCCGAGGGGCCAAGTCACAGCACTCGGCTACTACTCGAGGGAGGTACTCCGTACGTGGAGAGTGGGGTAGCATCCGTCCTCATCAATATTTATCAGTCAAAGACTCCCAAGGTCCACACGGTTAAGTGAAAGTCAGTTCAGTATGTAGCTACCTATTCAGCCATAAGGTTATTGTTGACAGAGAGCTGTTAATCTTGTCCTGTATGCAATTTTCCCCCCTTTCTGCTGTTACTCCGTCGGCCCCATAAATACATTTGTACATCATTTAAAATTTGTTCTAAAATAATTACACATCTTGCTATAGAGCACATAGCTCTAGTAGTATTTTCTATTTTCTCTATTCACAAACTGGGGAGACTTGGGCTCCCCATTGCGGACCAAAATCTTCCTCCGGTTGGTATTCAGGCGCAGACATTGGACAGATGACAGAAGAAGGATGCACGTCCTAGAGGCGAGAGAAGAGTGCTACCTTTGCGATCAAGCATGAGAAACGACTGATCGCATCTTAGCAGAGTGCC